CGCCCAAAACTCCATCATCGGAGCCATCAAGCCCACCGGAAAACAGAGGGCGTACACCATCTACGCGACCACGGCCGACCCCCAACCCTCGCCATATCCCGAACGTGGCATCCCGAAGCAGGGGCCGGGACGAAAGCGGGACGCACCTCGGAACCACGTCGCGCCCCACGATTTTTGCGGCGGGACATGATCGATCGGCGGGGAAAATCGACAGACGGCGGGCGGGCAGAGCAGGCGGGAGCGGGAGCGGGAGGAGAAGGCATTAGTACCTTGCGGTTACGGCGGTCGGCCGGGAGGGCGAGGTTCCGGCGGTGCAAAGCAATCGGGGGCCGGGTGGATTGGATGGAGAGGGTGGCTATATTTCGCCTCCTCCGGCACCACGCCTCGCCTCGCCTCGCCCGTTGCGCAAGCCACAAAGGAAAAGGAGAATGACGGGGGCGAGAGGGAGATGGCCTGACGGGATTATAAATGGCCAATTTATATTTAGGATGCCCTGCCATGGGAGGGGGAGAGAAAAAATAATTTCGAGCTGGGCCGAGGGGGCAAGCAGTGTTGTAGCAGATGCATTTCAAGGGGGGGCGTCAAATATCAAAATGTCAGTGGAGATTAAAAATGACCTGTGATGAAAAAAATGAGACGGCCGTAATTGAATGGTCTTTTTTTAAATTAGGAATTAAAATCAGTATAAGTTAGCATCATGATAATTTTTCATATAAAGAACTGAGCTGAAGGGGCAAGAATGGTTTTCGATGTTTTTATTTTTCTGGGTAAGAATGGTTTTCGATGTTGAAGGAGGAATATTAATAGGGTCTGCCTAGGGCACATTAATACCCGCACGGATCTCCGGATAAAATCAATGACATGTGACTTAGATGTGCAATACTTTAGGGCACATTCAGATGATCTTTTGCAAAGCCGATATTAATAGTTGGGTGGAATTGTATGGCAGATTGTAATAGTGGGTGGTCTTTTTGTTCATTATATGTTTGTCAAGCTCATCGACAACATTATCATGACCCTTCCTCTTCAGCTTAGATGAACCCAGAACCTTTTAGTTGTAAGTTGCATACTCCTAGCCATTTCATCCATACCCCCTTGAATTGATGAAAAAGACAATATTTTATGGATGACATACAATTTCTTTGTATAATCTTGAAATATATATCTATTCCTCAATTCACCCTCCTCTGAGCCACCTCCCGGTCTATAACTCGCTTCATACCACCCACCATGGATGGATGCCATCACCACCTTGTTCACCGATTTTTTCTACCACAAACCCGCCATCCTCGCTCTTTTTTTTTCCTTCTACAGTGGGCCGCCACCCTTACTATCAATTAGACGTTGCCCGCCGCCTAGTTATCGAGCTCTCTATGACCTACTTTTTTCATGCACATCCATAAAGATTGACTTCCCCCGCCAATGACCGGGTCTGAAGGTCCCCAATGGTCGTTTCCTCATTTTACCTTCTCCAGTCCTCACTCCCGCCACCATCACCTAGATCTAGAGGCCACCACGACATGCCTGTCCTATGGGACCAGTATCAGGCGGGACCAACATAACCACATAAGGAAGAAATGCGTAAGGAAAAAATTACTCCATGGCCCAGATCAGACGACACAACTCCACCTTAGCGAAGACTCAAACAAAGTTGGACAGGAAGGATTTTGAATGGGTGAGTAGCTATCCCCGCATAAACTTTGGGGGATTGGCATGCACTCAAATTTGAAATCTCGAAAAAAGATAGGGCAAAACTGACCTATAGATTAAAGCTTCACAACCACTATAGTCCGTAAAATTAAGCCTTGCAAGAGATGGGCTATCTAGTCGTCCATTCATAGAGGGAAATCATAGAATCGGACTTCATAGTGTATTTGGAAATAATTGGAACTTACATGCTCTGCGGCTAACACTGTCTCTAAAGGTTAAAAAATGTGGTATTGGCACTCAATCTATATTGGTTACAACATTCCTCCTTGGCACCATTCCACCATGCACTCAATCAATATTTATGAATTGGCTGCAATGTCATAGCAAATCATTACATTCTTCAAATTGAAATATGCTACACCTATCGTACGAAAATATATTAGAGGCACGGGTAGATGGATAGGGTCATTTTCAAGGTAGGGCTCACCGTGAACACATAAGCCTTTTTTCTGTTAACGATAAGACGGCAGCTCAGCTTGTTTGTTTTTTGGCGAGGCACGTGTCAGTTATTCGCTCACGTGCACCCCTCTGGATAAACTACGAGCCGACGACACTAAACGGTTCGCTCAAGAGGATGGCAGTATGAGCGAACACATTTGGGATGACAAAATCTGTTTTTGGAGCATGATGGTTTTAATCAGTTTTCCTTAGATGTAGCATGATTTTTTTCTTCTGCCAGCATGGCAAATCCAAACAAGTTGGAAATTTTCTTTTTTGACTGACAATTCTTCATGTTGCATCATGGCAAATCCGTGAAAATGCATGGCAATTACTCTCCTACAGCATAGTAAATTCCTGACAATTTTTCTGCTAACATGCCATTTTTAGCATGACTGAAAACGAAAGTCCCCTTCTACTCTCGATGAACAGTAAATTCAGAAAAAATAAATGAAAAACCATTTGAAAAAATCTGAAATTTTTTGGTTGCTAACTTTGACAAATGTTCTCAGCGCTTGTAAATTTTAATCCTGAAATAAAATTCGTGGAAGTCATGGCAAAAAAAACACTCCAAAATGCTTTTAAAAATAGCATATTTGGAGTGTTGATTTTTTTTTACCACGACCTCCACAAATGTTATTTCGGGATGAAAATTTCCAAGAACCGAGAACATTTGTCAAAGTTTGCACATAAAAAAATTAGAATTTTTTGATTTTTTTATTATTTTTTCGATTTTACTGTTCATTAGGGAGCATATAAGGTCGAGCTGAGAATAGCTGCGTCCGAAAGTGATAGTAGCTTCTTGAGGGTACACTCCCAGAACACGGAGTTCGCTCGAATAACTTTCCTGAGCTGCCGCCGGCGTGTCATTCGGGTCTTCTTTTTCATGGGGACACATAAGTCAGTAGGCTTCCGTCAGTAAACTTCCCTGGTTAGGATCTTCGCTTCAAGCTAAAGCATTGGAGATTCGAGAAGATGTGCCTCACTTTCCTCTGTCGTGGTATCTGATTGGAGTTCTGACTTGCGCAACTACACCTCTCCTGTACGAATTGGATGCTATCAGCTCTCTGTCATTTTCAATCGCTAGTCGTTTTCAGTAAATGTGTACTAGAAAGACAGGGGGCAAGGCAATCACCAGGGCTGTTCATGAGAAAAAATGCGGCCACTGCTTAGTTTTCTCGAGGAGGATTTCCCCCGGCCACTGCTTAGTTGGGTCGATATTTCCCATCAGAGCCGAATACCCAGAAGTTCGGGGTGCAACATTTTTATAGCATCTGTGCAATAAACTCCGCCAACCACTTTGACAAACACGACGATCTGCTCCGTGTTCATCTAAAAAAACATGACAGGGACAGGCAAAACTACAGCGAAAAGGAAAACACCACAACTTCTGCAACATGCAACTACCCCGACGTTTTCCCTGAAAAAACAGCACGTGCTTGCAACAAATAGTCGTCCAATGATACGCACATCCTAGTATATGCTATTCAGATTTACTGTTATGCATCCGACATTCAGCCATCGGTGTGAATCCATAGTAAGTTCAGAGCTTAACACGATACCGAAGCTGAGATGAAATTCGAAACATGCCGAGTACAAGGCCATTCTAGATGGTTCGAAACGGATAGAAGAAAACATCGAAACAACCATAGCGTTGTTCTGCGATATGCTCTTTTCGGGCTTCCTTCCTTG